CAGTAAAACACATTAAGTGGTTTTGTGGATTATTGGTCACCTTAAATATTGGCAAGTCCGTAGCTACGAACTTTTCTGGAAAAGCAAGTCCTGAGGGAGGAGGAAACTTTTCTGGAAAAGCAAGTCCTGAGGGAGGAGCAAACTTTTCTGTGTCGAAGTACTTGTTCCCCATGGTGAAACGAAGAACAAGCTTCTCTAACGAATTTTCTTTGACGGATAATTGTTCCATCTTTTGTTGCAAGGTTAGAGCCTCGACATTTTTCTTTTGGGCTTTTTCAAGCTTCTTAATTCTTCTTTCCTCGGCCTCTTGAGCCTTTTCTTCTCTTAATCGAGCAATCTCTTCTTGGAGTTGTTTGATGGTCGACATTGTTATTGGACTAGGACTAGTTGTCGAGGGGAGGTGGTTTAAAAGAGGTGGGTTACTTGATGATAAACGTAGAATACGAGCGCCCGGGAGTCTTCGTTCCCAAGCTTGAGAACCGGCCCTAAAGGAAGTGCGAGAGGATAAGTAAATCGATACGCTTGTTTAAAAGAGAAAAAAAAAAAGAAATGACGCAAAATGTATTCGCACGAGTAACATCACCCTTAAACAATTTTCCGATGGAGGTATTGTTCGAACGAGTCAGCTTGTTTTTTGAGAAATCAAATTGACTCGTAACAGTGGGCGTGCACAAGAGATTGAGTTGCGTGCGGATGTTGCGCAAAACCAAATTTGTTGCGCTGGTTGGGGTCGCGCAACTTATTAAGTTGCGCGCGCCACCTGTTCGTAAAAAATTTTTAATTCGAGCGCTTCATTTTTTATTTTTTCATCTTTTTTTTTATTATTTTTTTTTCATGTTACCCTTCAAATATGACTCGAAATTACGAAGAGACTACTTCGTAATCGGGAACCTAGACCGAAAAAAAAATAAGAAGACTATCCTAACACGTTTCACATCACATAAGCACATAAAGCATATCATAAGCCAAGATTCACGTATTGTCATTCTAAGGTCAAAGAGGCTTGGGTGTCAAAAGGTATCATATCTTAAGAAACGATGCACAAATCAATCACTCAACGTATTAACTCATGACATCTTCCTCCCAACATTTGTTGGTGATATGGGTGGGATGATTCTTATTGATTTCGGGATAGAAGCCTAGTGTTGGCGACCCCTAATCAATGAGACAATCCCCAATGGTTAAAGTGTTCTATACTTATGCATGATGCAATGTTGATTGTTTGATTTTTACTTTTGCGTAAAAGGAAGACATTATGCGTTCGAGTCTCACTCTCTAACTAGAATTATCCAAGTTAATTCTCGTTACAACCCATAAGCAACCTAGTGTTGGGAACCTTGGACCATAACTAAGAACTAATCATGTAACCTCTAAGTCCCCAGTGGAGTCGCCACTGTTAGGAGGGTGATCCCATCGTAAGGGGTCCTTCCTTAGATGCTCATGGCCACTTAAAAGCCTAGGACTTTACACTTTTTAGAGTGTATTAGGATTTGAATTCCTGACTGTTTGGGAGACCTTGAATTAGAAATGATACTCTCATCACGCTTTGTTGTAAGAAACAAGTAGGAGTCGCCAATGAGTTTTAGGAAAACTCATAAACCTCGTTCATGTCTTTCTTCCATGTGGAGTTCATGGAATAATTAGCACGAATCGTAAGTTTACCCATGCCCAAATTGGTCTACATAAACCAGAATTGAGTTCGGGAGCGAGGGTACTAAAATAACGTTCCTTTTAGGGAGGAATCACTATTCTAGCCCTAGTACGACCTCTACTAGCTCTTCCCCTTTTTTTGCAATTTCATTACCAAACAATATATGCAACGCGATACCTAAAACTAAGTTAGTTGATTTTATTTACACACGTTAATTCACGTAGGAATTACATTGCAACGTCGTTATTCTTTATTTAATCAAATTCGTGAAAAGAACAAGAAAATAAACAATATTCGCCTTGGCTTAAGTGATTAACCAACAATTAATTATCCAATTCTAATCTTTATTTAACGCAAGATACTATGTGAAAATAATTAATTAGTCCTTTAAAGATGATCAAACAACACTAATTAATTAATTAAGGTTCCTTTAAACAAGAAAATTAAATATGATTTATCTTAGTGCTCGGGAATTTACCACTTCTCTTTGCAAGATCTCCGTTTAGAACACTTATGGACACCTTCTTGTTGGGGAACCTCCACCATAGTAATAAAATATCAAGGGGTGAGTGTTTAGGACAAGAGTGTTTAGGTAGCACAAGTTCACAAGTATTTCGCCATAGTTTTAGGTTATTTTTTGTCTGTTTAAGCCCTCGGATTAAGCCTCTATTTATAGGGAATAAGTAAGTTTAGGGTTTTGAACATTCTGCCGCAGCAGGTGTCACACGCAACAGGATTAGTTGCGCGCGGCATCCCAGCGCAAGTGATTGGGTTGCGCTGCTATGGGCAGCGCAACTGATTTTCTTGCGCACGGCATTATGGTAAGATTCGATTTTATATTTTTATAAAATTCAGAATCTTCCGCGAGCGCATCTCTGGAGGTTGCGCTGAGTGTCGCGCGCAACTGAATTAGTTGCGCGCGCCTGCCAGCACGACTGATTGAGATGCGAGCGGATTTTCCTGCGGCAGCATTAAAATTTAACCTAGGCGCTCCTAAATCCGTCGTTATTGGGTTTTAAGCACGGGCTTAAGTCTAATATTGATCGGATTTAGTTCATTGGACCTCATTTTTAGCTTTGTTTGTTTAGTTTGGGCTAGATTTTGTGTTTTGTGGCTTAACCGATTATCCATAAGCATTCTCCACTTCAATCTAACACGAATATGGTTTTATTTATCGTCATTGCACTTCCTGTCGGGACGGGAGGCCAAAAGTAGATGTCTACAAGTCTAAACAAGTCAAGTCATGATCGGGTTCAGGTAAATTATTCGGGTTAGATTATCATCGAATCATTATCACATTTAATTCAATCACGTTTTTATTTTTTTATTTTTTTTTTGTTTAATCTGAATTTTTTTCTTTTTTAATACAATATAAGATAAAACAAACAAACCTAAGGTCCAATAGAATTCGCTAACCATAATTGATTACATTTAGAATGCACATACACCTACAAAGTAATAGTATTTGTAAACTGTAGTTGCTTAATTGAAATATAGAATGAACTTGCACCTAAAAAGCAGTAGTTTTCGTAAATCATAATTACTAAATTTAAATAAAGAATCTACATGCATCCAAAAAGAGTAGTATTCATAAGTTTTTATTATTAAGATTGAGGGAAAATGGGAAAAAAAAAATATATCCTTTGAAAGATTGAGGGAATATCTTATTTCTTTATCATTAAGAAAATAACTGCATATATACAATGTGCATGCCTTCGTTAGTCATTATAGGCTAAACTTTAACTAACTATATACAGATAATTATCATTTTTATATATTAAGCTAATTATTTCTTTTGACTTTATAACAATAATATATATGGCAACATACTAGGGAATTATGGCCTATAACTTAGGAAGATAATTATCTCCTTTTACCATACAACAAATATATACTATATTTAACTCTTAAATCTGGGGATGATGCTTCTTTCTTTTGATGGCCTAGACCGACTTGGTCTCCCTAGATAAAATGCTTTGATCAATAATAATAAGGTGGTCTAAATTGAATTTAAGGTGATTTGAAATCGGGTTAGGAACAATTTGGGTTGAATTTAGGTCGGGTCAATAACAAGTTGTGTTGATTTCCGGTCGGGTTGGTAATAGATCGGGTAGAATTTTGGGTATGGTTAATAATAGATCGAGTAAAATTTGGGTCGGGTCAATAACAAGTCGGGTTGAATTTGGGTCGGGTCAATAACAAGTCGAGTTGATTTCGGGTTAGGTTTGTAACAAGTCGGGTTGAATTTCGAGTCAGGTTAGTAACATGTCAGATTAAATTCGGGTCGGGTTAGGAACATGTCGAGTTTAATTCAAGTCGGGTTAGTAACAAGTTGGGTTAAATTCGGGTTTTGACGGTTAAAACTGGTTTGGGTCAATTTCGGTTCGGGTTTTAACGAATTAAAACGGGTACCAATTGGATGTTGGTGTAGTGGTGATTTGGACTACACTTGGTAGGGAGAACTCGTGTTCGATCCCCCACAACAATCGGGAGGGGACTGGAACCTAATCACCCAAAACTGATCCCTGAATCCAGATTAGCCCTAAGGGTGAACCGAGTGGAACACCAAAAAAATTTACGGGTTAAATTCGGGTCGGGTCATCTCCAATTCGGTGCATGTTCGGGTTCAGGTCTCAAATACTCGAGTCAACTCGGGTTTAGGGCTGGTTTTAGGTCGGGTTTGGGTCACCATTTTCTGGGTTCAGACAGGTCGGTTAATAACTGTGTTTGGGTCGGTAATTCGGGCCGGGTTAGCTTTTGACAACTCCATCCCTAAATATATAGTATAAAAGGTTAATTTTTGCATAATAATAGTCATGTTAAGATGTTAGCTCAGTGGTTGTACACTCCTAACGCTGGACCATGTTCAAAACTTATAATGTCAAAAATGTTAAATATGATCAGCTACTTCTGTTTTAGTAATAGTTAATAGCTTACGTAGTTACATTTTTTAATATATATACTAGCAAAAATTGTAGTCATTTATTATTTATTATTTTTTATTTATTTATTTTTTTTTTTTAATAAGAACTAGTCAAATTTAATTAATACCGGTGCATAAGCAAAGCTTTTGCACTAAGAAAACGCAGAATATACATTTATACATTACTATTTTACTTAATACAAGCCTCGGCCTCCTTGGATTTTATTTCCTGGCTTCGCCCCTAACTAGGTGATCATTAAAACTCATATCCTCGTGACCATGGCTAATAGTAGTTTATCTTCTTTTTGTTTAAGCTCATATCTAAAAACACACTGATGCCCCGAACATGATACTGAACTAGAGATGGCCATCAATCCATCATTCTACCATTGACACAAAAAATATACCGAAATTGAAGATTGATCAATAGAGCACAATTATAGTCGACATTTACTGAAATACGATGTCACAATTCACAATGCAGAAATGCATATTTAATTGTGCGATACAATAGTGGAGCAGAACTGCATTGGCAACCACAGTTCAGTTATTGATTACAGATCTACAAAAGACCCAGAATCCAGGAACATTAAACTTACAAAATAACAAGTTTTATCTATTAAACATGGTTATATTTCAGTCTGCCATGGGACTAACCATATTAAGCAGCATCAACTTCGTCAGCAGGCTTTGTTTCAGTTTCTACAGATTTTCCTTCCGATTCAGCTGGGGCTGCTTCTTCATACAATGAGGTTTTCTTTCCAGTTTTTGAGACAGTCTGCAGAACAGCTTCTGGTTGTACATTGCCCTTGACAGTCACCTTTTGCTCCTTCATATCGATTTCGTATGACTCAACACCTAAAGTTTACCACTGCAGATATCAGTACTTAATACTCAAAAATAAAACATTATGGTTTGTTAATTGGATATTCTCCCTCTGTTTAAAAACAATACTGTATTTAAGGTAATAAGTACACAGATTAAAAAGTACTCAAATACAGAAAAGAAAAAAGTATAAAGAAAAATAAAGAAAGAACATTTGATATACTCGCTGAATAATGATAAGAAAAGGAACGATCAAATTTTGAAATCACATTAAAAACAATGGTAGCATACTAATTATGTGAATGAACAATGTCATGGCGCATAGTAATTTTAGCTTTGTGTTACTAAGCCTTAGGATAGGGGATCACAAGCAATACTTGAAAATTTTCATTCGTACAATAAATAAGAGTTTTCCTAACTAAAAGCAAATTAATCAGAAATATTTCAGATTTACGCTAAACCACATAGAGTGACTGTCAGGCATATTACTGTCTAATGCATTTAGGTCAGAAAACTCATGATTCACATTCACCATATGGTATGTGCCTAAAAAATAAGCCTAGAACTGTACTGCTGTACTGGCGTATGCTGAAACAATACTAAAGCAAACCTTATTGAAATTCAGTAAAATCAAGCTTTCAGAAAGCTTCACCATTTTTTTTGACTCAATATAAGCAGTCAAGATCTATCACAACTATGACGAATGCATTAAGAGATAGAAAAACTATCAACCCAAAGATAAACCCCAGAAGAAAAAAATTCAGCAAAACATTAATGTCTACGCTACAATGCATATTTCCAATTATATTTTACATCAGTAAGAGATATTCCCTGTCACATGGAAGCCCCTGCACCATAGACCGTTAAAGAATTAAAGCTTAGGCCTTTTCTAGCCAAAAATGATTACAAGTGAATAAGAAAAATAGAGAGAGGTGTGGGTCTATCTTATCTCACCCCACTTTGTAAGGGAAACGTTTAGGTATCTTGGGGGGTCAAAGTTCTTATCAAAAAATTTAAAAAGAGCCAGAAAATCAGAATATATGATTAGGAGGTTCCAAGCATACAAGAAAATTTTAAATAATAAGGAGAAGACAAACCTTCCATTTTGTCCAAAACTCGCTTCACCGCTCCAGAACAGCCTTGGCATGACATGGCAACATTGAGAACAACAGTCTGCAAAGAAGCAGCACCCATGCATATCAGATACACATGCAAACAGTCTGCCATTTACTCTCATATGTTTTTCCAGTCATTAAGAATGGTAAAATAAAATGTTTAAAGACAACACTACACACCAGTTTCATAAAAATCATTTATATTAACAATTCAGATTACTGATGGTAAAGAAAATCAGAAAGAAATAGGTTATGTGGTTAACTACAAGTTTGTAGGCACAATTTATCTTAAGAGAGTTGCATCTCTGAGACGCAAATTAGGATGCAAGACCTTAAATTCAGCCATTTTCCAATATAACAAACATCATCTAATGAATAAACCACTTACAATAACTTATAAAGTCATTGAGCATTACACTAGCACACCCTTAAAAAACATTAAACTCAGACATCCTTCAATAAAATGTCAGAAAAGCTATCACCCGTAGAAGGAATACACCCTCCAATCACAACAATAATATAATTAATGACGCTTGCAATTCGACTCAACTTTTGATGGTCCAAAATTAAAAGAAAGACCTTCCTGAAACATATTATGAAGTACTTTCCATGACATACAAGAAGTAAGGTCAGTATACACAAACTAGGGAATCAAATTAACTTAGTCCAAATACTCCGTAGTAGTTCATGGTTAAAACGACCGATTTAAAGCTAAACCATTTGACATCGAATGATCGATATGCTACACGTTCCTCCATTACTCACACTTTAAATTCTTGAAGCAAATTTTAAAAACATGCATGAGGTTATACATGTCAAGAGGTTCAAATTCGAACCAAAATGTCTATTATGCAATAATTCTAATTAGGTCAAGATTTCCAATATGTCATTTATGCAATTATTTCAGCATACATATCAACACCCATATCAAGATTTTCAAAAAGTACCCCTAAAACTATTTTCAAAAGGGTTTATAGAACAAGAATTTACTCAGAAGATAATTAAAGTTCAGCTTGTCAGTTTATACTATTCCCAAAAATTCATATCATACAAAAATTCCCCAAATCAATTTTGATATAGGGTTTCAGGAAAACACCAAATTTCCAAAAATTACAGCAAAATATAAAAAAATAAAATTGGGTAGCAGATAACAAAGCAGGAATATTAATAATATATGAAAATCAATCAAATTTCACTAAATTCAAATTTTAAATTTCCCCAAAAAATCAAAAAAGTGAAAAAATTGATGTAGAAATTAAAAAAATTGAAGTATACCTGAGACATGATGATTGAATTGATTTGATAATTGACAACAAATGAAGGGGAAATTGAAGAAAATTGTGATGAAATTGTAATATTGAGTTTGAGGAGAAGAGTATTTATGAAGAGTTGAAGGTAATGAAAGGGAGTTGTAAAGGTGGATTGGTTGACCAAATTTCAACGTCGCGTTACGTTTAAGCGCGCATCATCTGATTCCCTTCCTACTTCGCTAACCGTTTTTCCTTCTTTGTCTTCTTCCTTTCCTTTTTCGTTTTCTCTAGAAGTTGTGGAAAGACTAATTCATTTTCGGAGCTTGTCTGAATGGAGTATTGAGATGCATTAGTAAATGCATATTCAGGGGCAAGCTAGTCAATTCACATGGCTGAGTGGAAATCCACCTCACTTTCGGTTATGCTTTTTCTAAGCCCATTGCATAAGTATCTCGTATTTCCTGGGTTTATTTGCATAGGTATCTTGTATCTCGTACTCCTTGTATTTGTAATCTGTATTTTGTATTTCAATTAGATTATTTGGTCACATACTTGATTATTTTCTCTCTCTTCCATTTACCTCTCCTTCTGTCTTCTCACTGTCTCTCTCCTCTGAACTTGTATTTTCTGGTCGCCTCCAGTAAGAAATTCGAAACTCGAATTCGAACCCTCTGTCTTCTCACTCGAATTCCCCATTTCCTCCATCTCCATCTCCATCGTCGTTTGCGGTGGTGGGTGACTTGAAGAATTATTTCTGGGCTTGCCGCGGGGAGAATTCAAGGGTTTTACGCATTATTCTTGATCAATTTGACCCAAGTAAGCGAGTTAGTTATAAATTCATTAGTTTTTCTAAATTTTGTAATGCTTGTTGAAACAATTTTAGTACTTTGTCAAAGTTAATTTCATTGTATTCGTCTAACCTAAAAGTTAGGGTTTTCAAATTGGTGATGTTCTGGGTTTTATGGGGGGTGTGGTTGATATTCGAAATCAATAATAGGGTTTAAGAATTACATAAATCCTAACACCCCAATTTCAATTTCCCTCCAAAATTTTTATTTGTTAGGGTATTTCTTGGAATGTAATTGGTTTCATGGTATTGATTATATTTGCTTGAATAGAATGTATGTTTTGAGATTACATATTCTCCAATTTTGTTTTAGTTGTAAGTTGGCGATTGAAAAAAAAAAAATGATTGACTGATAGCCTTTTGGTTGGTGGGATAGTGCTATATTTTTGTGATTAGCAATTCTATTTGTGGATGGTTTTATGCTAAGTTGTGAATTTGATTGGTTTCAGACCTTAATGTCGATATTGTAACCTTGTTGTGTGATGGGTATTATAGGTTTGATGGGTATTATATGAACTAGATAAGTTATTAGTGTTATAAGCAGATTAGCTGTAACATCCTAGAAATTCCTTTCCTTTAAATACCCATTCTACTTTTTAAAATACGATTTTGGAATATCTAAGACATTACTGCCACCGTGAAAACGGATAAGGCAATTATCAAAGATACACAGCGGAAGACTTAAAATTAAAAATCGTTAAAACAAGTTAACTCAATAGTCAACCAAACGAAAGTAAAGTTTAAAACCAAAACAAACGAAGTTAAATAAAATCAAACTACAACTTGGAACCATTAAAGGCCCTTATTCAAAACCGTTCCAAAACCAAACCTTTGCGTTAGTCCACATAAAATATGTTATAAATAAATAAAGCATAAAACACATCGTAAACTAATGGAAGCTAGCATGATTCACTCTTCTCTCAAGCCCCATCATGAATATGCTTCAATACCTGAAAAGTTTATCTCTACTTGTCCCCACTACTCTCCATTAAAAATGGGTAATCATAGGGCCAAGATAAAGACATGACCTGATGCGTTTCTTGATTCGTTTGGTCTTAGGTTTAAACAAGCTTCACTCGTTTGTTTTCGCCTAAGGGTTCTAAATCTGATTTCAAGGCTTCACTCACCTTAATCTCGTGATTTAGGGGTTTTTTGAGGATAGTTTGAATTAGCTTCACTCACTAATTAATCTAACCTCTCTTAAATCAGGTTTCACTCGCCTAATCTAAGGGTTTTTATGTTTAACTTCACTCGTCAAACACAAAGAAAACTTGGAAAGAAATGTTCCAAATTAACAAGCAATAAAGCTTTAATCAACAAAACAAACTTCTTCTTTAATTCAAAGTTTACAACCTTTATTTATAGACTCAAAACTAATTCTAAACCTAATCAAATTAGAAAACTAATCCTAATTGAATTAGAATCCCATTTGACCTAGAAAACCTAAGAAAACCGAAACTTGATCCCCAAGTTCCTAATTCGGATATGACTAAACTAACTAAGTTTAATTCAACTTAGATTAGGTTATTCAATCCTCCTAAAACTCCTAGACACGCCTAAAAACCAAAGTCAAGTCCTAATCCAATTAGGAATTTACTTTGCTAAAAACAAGTCCTAATCCAATTAGGAACCTCTTTTGCTAAAGACAAGTCCTAATCCAATTAGGAATCTCTTTTGCTAAAGACAAGTCCTAATTCAAATAGGAACTCACTAGACCAAAACAATTCCTAATCAAAATAAAAATCCTAACGCTTAAAACAAGAAAAACCCTTTCAAGTGAAAGGTAAAAACTTGTAAGCCAAAATCTAATCTAAGAAACATTAAAGAAACGGACCAAGAAAGGAAACGTTGAATGCATCCGCATCATACTCCTCCTCTTGAAAACGAACTTGTCCTCAAGTTACATCATAACAAGGAACGAGATCATTTGCGCTAAGAGAAGCACAAACGCCTTCACCAAGTAGCACTTGAAATGTATCATAATTCTCCCTATGCACGATTTTAAAAGGCCCTTCATCAAAGGATTCATGCTTGTCTTTGCGGTTGTTGTATAACTTCTGTGCACTCAAAGAAAGCCACACATAGTCACCTATCTCAAATGGAGACTTACGAACAAGTTGAAGCACTCTATCTTGCTGCTTGTCTTTCTTCTTCCTTTTACTTGAACCACCTTCATCACATGTAGAAAGAGAAATAACCTTGCTGCCATCATGTTGCATAGGTTCGAATTTAGGAGGCAAAGGTTTTAATCCAATCCTTTTCCCTTTATGTAGAACTGAAACCACATTCTTCTTTGCAAGGTAGATCACATCACGATCAAATTGCCAAGGACGGCCTAGCAACAAAGCACATGCATCCATAGGAACAACATCACACCACACTTTGTCTTCAAACTCACCAATTGTAAAAGAAACCAATGCTTGTTTCGAAACATGTACTCCTCCAACATTTGTGAGCCAATTAAGTTTGTAAGGATTAGGATGGTTCCTAGTCTCAAGCTGCAATGTATCCGTCATCTTCTTAGAGCATGCATTAGTACAAGAACCATTATCCACAATAACTGAACAACTACGCCCATTCACTAAGCATCTAGTGTGAAACAAGTTCTCCCTTTGTGCCATATCAGTCAAAGGAGTAGATTGAGCATGGAGAAGCTTTCTCAAAACAAGTGTGTTGTGATCCGGGGCTGCCTCACACAATGGTTGCTCTTCACACTCTTCCTCAAAGTCATATTCATTCTCCTCTCCTTCACGTTGCTCTTTTAGAAGTAAAGCAAGTTTAGCATCCTCCTCTTCTAAGGCTTGGTATCTTGTTAATGTCATGACCCTTCTATTAGGACACTCGGACTTGTAGTGACCTCTACCTTGACACTTGAAACACTTGATTTCATCTTTATCAACTCTTTGATTTTTAGCTTGAGCATCAAACTTAAAGGAATCCGAAACACCTTTATTCTTTTCCCAATTTTCAGATTTTTCAAAACCCTTTGAAGTCTCACCCTTTAGAGCATAATTAGGTCGAAAAGATTTCAACTTTGAAGTTTTAATTTGTCTTTCAACCTTTCCAGCAAGCTCACAAGCCTCATCAAAAGTAAAGAACGATTGCAACTCAACTTTATGTCCAATTTCCATATTAAGGCCAACAAGAAATTTAGAGATCTTTTGTTCCTCCTCATCTTTACAATCACAAGCTAATGACAATCTCTCAAATTCTTTAATATAATCTTCGACACTCAAATTATTTTGTTGCAAAGTATTGAATTTATGAAACAAATCTTGCTTATAGGATCGTGGAACAAAGCGTTTTCTCAATTTTTGTTTCAGCAAATTCCATGAATTAATTCTTTCTTTCTTTTCCCTTTCTCTCTTGATTTGACAATTATCATACCATAAAGATGCAAGCTTTGACAATTTAAGAATAGCATAAGTAAAGCACTTATAATCATCAATACCTTTGTGAGAGAAAATTCGATCTACTCGTCGCTCCCAATCTAGATAAACTTCTGGATCTAAAGTACCATCGAATTCTGGAAGATCACTCAGTTTGATCTCCTCATCCTTCTTGTATCCACCACTACCAATAGAACCTCCCGAAGCCTTAGCCTTCAATTCGGACATCTCCCCTTCAAGACTCTTCATATGATTCATGAAAATAATGTTTTGTTCCATCAAAGCAGCCATTTGTTCAAGCAAGTGAGTTTCCGTTGATTTACTCGCCATATTTGCGCACAATCGGTAATCTTCCCTCGAATGTTTGTTGCTGTAGATTTTGCGTCACTTATCCAATGACCACGAAATTTTACAGGCTATAATTTTAGTCCAATAGGAATCCAACCAAAAAAGAATCACCGAAAAATACCAAGTATATAGTTCGCAGTAACCTAAAACTTCCAACTGGTCCAGATCTGCGCCGAGAAGAACAAGAACCAAGAAACTAGCACGAATTGATTCTTGATTGCTCAAGAACAAGGATATAACGACTCAATAATCACACCAACAGCTCTGATACCATTTGATGCGTTTCTTGATTCGTTTGGTCTTAGGTTTAAACAAGCTTCACTCGTTTGTTTTCGCCTAAGGGTTCTAAATCTGATTTCAAGGCTTCACTCACCTTAATCTCGTGATTTAGGGGTTTTTTGAGGATAGTTTGAATTAGCTTCACTCACTAATTAATCTAACCTCTCTTAAATCAGGTTTCACTCGCCTAATCTAAGGGTTTTTATGTTTAACTTCACTCGTCAAACACAAAGAAAACTTGGAAAGAAACGTTCCAAATTAACAAGCAATAAAGCTTTAATCAACAAAACAAACTTCTTCTTTAATTCAAAGTTTACAACCTTTATTTATAGACTCAAAACTAATTCTAAACCTAATCAAATTAGAAAACTAATCCTAATTGAATTAGAATCCCATTTGACCTAGAAAACCTAAGAAAACCGAAACTTGATCCCCAAGTTCCTAATTCGGATATGACTAAACTAACTAAGTTTAATTCAACTTAGATTAGGTTATTCAATCCTCCTAAAACTCCTAGACACGCCTAAAAACCAAAGTCAAGTCCTAATCCAATTAGGAATTTACTTTGCTAAAAACAAGTCCTAATCCAATTAGGAACCTCTTTTGCTAAAGACAAGTCCTAATCCAATTAGGAATCTCTTTTGCTAAAGACAAGTCCTAATTCAAATAGGAACTCACTAGACCAAAACAATTCCTAATCAAAATAAAAATCCTAACGCTTAAAACAAGAAAAACCCTTTCAAGTGAAAGGTAAAAACTTGTAAGCCAAAATCTAATCTAAGAAACATTAAAGAAACGGACCAAGAAAGGAAACGTTGAATGCATCCGCATCATGACCAAACACACAAACACACACAATCAGCAAAGTTGAGTACATAAGTGTAATTAAACACACTAACATGCTTTCACCTATCAACACACCCTTACCTCATTGCACCTGTTTACAAGCACACACAACAATCAACAAAACACATTAACTAGACACTAAATAATTCATTTAGCGTTGATTACGCATCGAACGGGTTTCCAACTATACCTCCCCCAAATAAATTGAGGGAGGTTAACTGAACCGCGCCAGCGACAAACCACTCAAAGGTGGCGGAATTCCTGGGCATAATAATAAATAAAAAGGAATGTACTCCAATAGAAGTTATGGTTAAATATAAAACCCCATAACTCCCCCCATTGTTCATACTCAAGGTATATACGTTCCAAGAGTTTTGGTGCGTAATCTCTTTCACTTTACGTTATTTACATATTATTAGACTTGGTGATGACTCTCAAAGCATAATAAATCAAACAACAATAATTATTCAATTAACCAAACATACCAATTTAATTCTTGAATAATTAGTGACCACATATTATTTAATGTTGAACCCCTTTTAATTTTACCTCAGTGTCAAAGACACCTTAAACGCATAAAGTGCCAAAAATCCTATTACTCGGTGTTAAAAACACCTTAAGTGCACAAATGCACCAACATATAATTTATTCCTCGTGTACATAGACACTTATATATAGCTCATTCCTCATGTTTAAAGCATCAATAAAAATTATATGAACCATAATAAAATTCTTTTCCAATATTCCAAGCCAAACTAAACATGTAGTTTAATTAAACATGCACTCCAACATGCCATAAATAAAAGTGTAGTCCATATAATCATGCCAAAATATAATTTTTTAATCCATAAACCATCACAAATAAATCATGCTTCACAATTCAACCACCAACACCAATAATTCACAATTTCAATCATAGACCTTAGCATGATACTACTTGTAATTGATTTAAATCAAGCCTAGCATGATACTACATCACCAAAATATACTAAGTACGCGAACGTACCTCAAATAAGCTCTTAAAATAACCGAGTACTCTACAACAATTCTCGAACCAAGTCTCCTACATAAAGAGACAATAATACTATATTAATTATCCTTGTATACACAATTTCCAGCAAGTTAAACTCACTTTAAATAACTTATAATAATCTGAAAATTATTTAAAAACCCCTAATTAAACTCCTTTTTAATGGGTAATCACACCCTTTTATTAAAATCACAATTATACTACTTTAAATAAAATTCCAGCATTTTAAACTAATTAAAAACCCTTTTAAAACTTCATCAAAATACATCTTTATAATTAATTTATCCGTAGAAACATTAAATTATCTCTTACCCTTTAAACTCAAGGATAAAATTTAAAGCATAAAAAAAACTTCTTTAAAAATCAAAAACTTCCCGAAAATCTTATTTAAAGGCTGAATTTGGCCACCAGAGGGTGGTGCTCACTACCAAAGGTAGTGAGTCTTTCTTAGAACGTTGTTTTCACACGAAAAACACTATTTTTTTATCAAAATCGGATGAGTTCAGAACCTGATCGGGATTAAAACGGGATTAATATTAACGAACAAAAATCTAATAATTAAAACACGAATTTACGTGTTCAAAACAATCTGAAACTAAGTTAAACTAATTAGTAGTTATAATCACCAAATTTTCAAAACATCATTACTATAAAAGTCCTAAATCAATTGTTCATAAAAACTCTAAAATCATTATTTTCAATAATTAAAACCCTAGGTTATAAATTTACAAAATTTGAAAATTATAAAGTTTAATCATCAAAAATACAATTTGATACTAATTAAATTAATTTCAAACAATAAAATCAAAACCCATAAATCAATAATTATAATTACACAAATTAATAAAACAAAGGAGAAAGAAAATAAAACTAACCTTTTTGTGTGGGAAATTTTGGGGATTCATGGGGTATTTATAGAGTGGAGAGTGTAGGGTTAAATTTGGGCTTATAAAAATGTGGGCTTAAGTTATGGGTTTTGGAATGGATTATTCCAATAAGAGTATGTAGGAATAATTTACATTGCCCAATAATTAATAAACGTTTGGCCCAAAATATATTTTACTTTATAAAGCCTTGTATTTAAATATTTTAACCCTTTAAAATATTTAATTAAAATACTTTATCCCTAACAATGCATTTTCTTAATACTTAAATACTTTATAAAAATACATAAAAATACGGGGTATTACATTAGCCAAAGAAAGGAAAGGAGAGGATTGAGATGAATAGGCTACTTAGCTTGTAGAATGGATTCATTTTTGGAAAGTAAATTCAGAGTGGCCTGCTTGGATAGAAGGAGTGAACAAGTTGCAATGTAAAAAGAGAATGAGCCTTTTATGCGGGGTTATAGTCAGGTCTTTAGAATGAGCCTTTCATAGTATTGATAATATATGCTTGAATATAATGTATGTTTTGAGGTTACATATTCTCCAATTTTGTTTTAGTTGTAATTTGGTGATTGAAAAGAAAAAAAAATATTGATGGATAGCCTTTTGTTGGGTGGGTATTGCTATATTTCTGTGATTAGCAATTTTATTTGTGGATGGTTTTATGCTAAGTTATGAGTTTGACTGGTTTCAGACCTTAATGTCGATATTGTAACCTTGTTGTGTGATGGGTATTATAGGTTTGATGGGTATTATATGAACTGATTAAGTTATTAGTGTTATAAGCAGATTAGCCAAAGAAAGGAAAGGAGAGGACTGAGATGAATAGGCTACTCAGCTTGTAAAATGGATTCATTTTTGGAATGTAAATTCAGAGTTGCCTGCTTGGATAGAAGGAGTGAACAAGGTGCAATGTAAAAAGATAATGAGCCTTTTATGTGGGGTTATAGTCAGGTCTTTAGATTAAGCCTTTCATGGTATTGATTATATATGCTTGAATATAATGTATGTTTTGAGACTACATATTCTCTAATTTTGTTTTAGCTGTAATTTGATGATTGGAAAGAAAAAAAAAATTGATTGATAGCCTTTTGTTGGGTGGGATAGTGCTATATTTTTGTGATAGACAATTCTATTTGTGGATGGTTTTATGCTATGTTGTGAGTTTGATTGGTTTCAGACCTTAATGTCTATATTGTAACCTTGTTGTGTGATGGGTATTATAGGTTTGATGGGTATTATATGAAATGGTTAAGTTATTAGTGTTATAAGCCGATTAGTCAAAGAAAGGAAAGGAGATGACTGTGATGAATAGACTACTCAACTTGTAGAATGGATTCATTTTTGAAAAGTAAATCCAGAGTGGCCTGCTTAGATAGAAGGAATGAACAAGGTGCAATGTAAAAAGAGAATGAGCCTTTTATGTGGAGTTATAGTCAAGTCTTTAAATTTGGCATTCTTAATCAAATTGACTTTTAAAAACTGTTCAAAACCTGCTACTACTAATTTGATTTTGCTAATGTACTAGCAATTACTACTCTGATTCTTTTCATTTTAAAAATTCTTGGGTACCATATCTAAAATTGGAAAGATTCATCAAGTAAAGAGTATCATATATAAGTTTTTGAGAGTGGATTAGGGAAACTTACCAGAGTGGCCTGGTTGGATAGAAGGAGTGAACAAGGTGCAATGTAAAAAGAGAATGAGCCTTTTATGGGAGGTTATAGTCAAGTCTTTAAAGTTGGTGTTCTTAATCAAATTGACTTTTAACAATCGTTCAAAACCTGCTACTACTATTTTGATTTTGGTAATTTACTAGCAGTTAATACTTTGATTCTTTTTATTTTAAAAATTCTTGGTTACCATGTCTAAATTTGGAAAGATGCATCCAGTCAAGGGTATCATATACAATTGACAATGTGGGATGGACATTTCTACAAACAAGCACTTTTCTGACTATTAGCTATGATTATTTTCAGCTTCTAGGTAATGGCAAAGTCATTTACCTTATATAATATTAACTAAGTTATTAGTGTTATCAGCAGATGAGTCTTATAGAGTTATTCTTACCATATGCAAATTAGATAGCTAAAACTTTTTTGCGATAGTTTGACTTTTAGATGTATGGTCTGGAAAATTATAATTAAAGCTTAGTATAAGAAATTATTAAAATGTATCCTACTTGTAATCACCAATTAATAGTCCTCTATAGTTTGAGTATTGGGTAGGATTGTGGGTTAGGCTTAGTATGTCAGATCTTTTAGTAGGCCTTCTTTTTTTAGGTCTCTGATTGATATGGCAGTTTGTTAATTTGTATTGATTATGGCAGTTTGTTAATTTGTATTGATTATTTTAGGTGTCTTGTTTGATGTAGAAGCTTTTATCCATGATGCTAAGTGCAGCTGTGATTTTTTGCAGATTAGATTTGTATTATTCCCCGCAAAAATTATGAGATCGAAGACAGTTGTGCGATCGAAGAACTGGAAACACTTGATGGTGAGATAGTGTTCAGTGCTTGTATTAATGTGTTAGTTGAAATGTTAAATGTGGTGAAGTTTGAAATTTTCTGTGTCAATTCTTGCATTAAGGATCCATCAACTTCTAAGGCCCCTTGTAATGGGGGGTCTGAAGTGAAGGGGAAGAACAAAACTAACAAGAAGGCTAAGCTACTTAAGAAGTCTGTAAATGCGGTTGTTGATAATAGTGGTGAAGAAGACACTGGTGCTGATCAGCAGACTGATGAAGATACTTTAGAGGAGTTCTGCTCTCCCTCTCCCTCTCCCTCTGAGTTCATGAAGATGATGATGCAGTTCATGAAGAGTAAGAATAAAATTCGGAAGAGGAAAAGGGCAAAGGTATAGTGCATATGTAACTACCAAGGCACATATATTTATACCAAGATTAGTATGCTAAATATTGGACATAACCCATGGTTTATGATTTGTATGTGTGTAGGGTGAAATAACCGAAGGCTAAAAAGTTTTGAGTGAAGGGGAAATGTTGAAGACCCATCATGAGAACATCTAAAAGGTATGATGTTTTAGTTCCTAACTAATTTTAATTTGGGCATGTAAATGAGTATTTTTTTTGTACTTCACTTTAGTTGTTGGCTACTAATGCATAATCCCTGTTGTTGTGTGCATAGCAGTACCCCAACATTGTATGTAGAGTCGTTCTTTCTGCCAAGCTGTCAAACATTTTGATTCAAGAAGACACGCTTTAGTGACACAAATGGGGTCTGAAGGTCTTTTAGAGATTGACATGAAAAATATACCGAGGCAATTTTGCTATTGGTTGATGACAAGAGTGCTTCGTGATGGCATGATGGTGTTTGGGCACAGTGAGATCTTACCCTTAGGTCCCGCTCAAGTGAGGTCTGTACTTAGGTTATCCATGGGTGATGAAAAAGTCCCTTTTGATGTTGGTGAAAATGATGAGGAGAAGGTGGAGAAGATGAGAAGAATATTTGATCTGTATGGTGTCGGTTTGAATAAAGAAAACATTTTGTTGAAATATGCTTCAGAAGCATTATGTTCGTTGGATGCATCGGGTCAAGCAATTCCCCTTGCAGATGAAGTTGACAAGGAGGATTTCATGGTAGTCTTTCTACTTGTCGCCCTTGGTAAAGTGGTTTGTACAACCACTAATAATTCAAACTTTCTGAAGTCACTCCGACTAGCATTGACAGTGGCTACCGAGGCTGTCATGTATGACTGGTGTTCGCTGACTTTTTAGTGGCTATGCGACACGGCTAACAGATTTCATAGGAAGTTCCAGAAAGATGGTTTTAGGTCTGGATGTGGGGGCAGTTTTCTGTTCATTATGGTGAGCCTTAATCAAACTACATATATTATCTTTGTGGGTAACTTTACATATTTTTGTGTTCATTAAAGTATTATTCACTTTTAATATTTTTAAAAAGTGTTCAAATTCTATTTCATGATCTCTATAAAAAATTTATTTAAGATTGTTCATCCTCTTGTTGAAATTGTAACATAAATTCAGTGCAGCTAAATAAACCTGATCATACTCTTGGAACCTAGATCTAGATAGGGTTTCAATTTCTTGTCTTCACTATTGTATAAAGTCAGTGATCGCGGATAGATAGGTCGTTAAGCTACCACCCTAACCAAATTAATCATTTATAAAGCCTAAACCTACACTAAACTAGTTAGTGGCAAGTAAAGGGTCGAACCCAAAAGGACTAAGTGTATCAATTTGTGCTAACTAGACTAGTAGGAAAGCTTGTGAGATAGAGAGAGGTTCAACTAAACACAACTAAGAACAATTAACTAAAACTAGGGAAAGTGGAATCCAATTACATCAATAAATTCAATAACATCATACAATTAGATGAAAATGACCTTGATTAGGAACAATCAACACATTTAACTCTCTCGCACAATTAAACATGTTAATTATCCTACTAAACTAATTCACTCTCGTGCAACTAGCCTAGCAAAGGTATGGAAGAAATTAGGGCTCTCAACCAACTCACTCTCGCACAATCGATTGAAAGCACAATTAAGAACATAGAATCAATTAGCTAGAAAGATTCTAATCCATAAAAGCATCATCCATACACAATAATCAAGAAACAATTCCATACTAATCAGTCAATCATTCAATTTATTAACATAACCTTCATCTATTTCCCTAGAACAAAATCTAAGCTAACATAATGAAGAAAGACATGGAAAACAAGGTAAAATAAGAATAAAAACAAGATTAAACAAATAAACTAATTAATCTACTCAAATCAATAAATAAAAAGCAAAAACTAAGAATTAAGCAAGAAATAAAGATGAGAGAAATTTAGAAAATGCTCATTGAATGGATGAGAAGAAGTTCCACAAAGTTGCTTCTTCAATCTCTCAAAAACTCCATGGAAATCCAAGCTTTCTCTCTCTACACTACTCCTAAACTAACCCTAAGAGAGAGAAAATAAAGGCTAAACTAATCTAATCTATCTAAATTAAAATGTTGATTGAAAGTTGCGTGAGAAAATAACCCCAAAGGGGTATTTATAATACAAGTTAAATAAAAAATAAAATAAAAGAAAGAAAATAAAAAGAAATAAAACTAAATAAAACAAATAAAAAAAAACTAAACTAAAAACCAATAAAAACAAAACTACAAAAAAATAAAAAAAATGAAAAAAAAATGAAAAGAAAAAAAGAAAACCCCAAAATTCCCACCCAAAACCCACGAAAAACCATCAGACTCCTTTCTCCTTTCACTTTCGAATTTGGCTGCTCCAATTCAAGCACCCATTCATGCATCATCATCACCGTTCATACTCCATCATCATCAGCAATTATCACTTTGCAGCCGTCCGATTTTCATTAAAAATCACGTGAAAAGCTCGTGCTTGACCCACAATTGCGCGCCCGCACAGAAGTCGCACAACAAGTCGCGCAAAGTTACTGTATCATTCTGTTTTGGACTCCAATTGTGTGCGCCTTCTGACAGGGTTGTGCGCCCGCGTTTAAGGCTTGAGATGGTGAGTTTGGGTGTTGTGAGTTGCGCGGCTATGAGGTGAGTAATTGTTGTTGCGGGTTGTGGTGGGCTGATAGGTGGTGTTGGTGGTTTAATTGGTGTTGCGGGGGTCGAATTAAAGGAGGTACTTGCTGGCGGATTGGTGGTGTTGGTGTTGGTTGATACGGGTTTTGGTGGACGGTGGTTTGGGTGCGCTGAGTTGAGTGAATTGAGGGAGCAGGGGAATTGGTGGTTTAGGTGGTTTGGGATGCGCGTGAGTGGTGTGACGGTGGAATAGGGGGTGTGAAATGGTGGTTAATTGGTTGTTGTGGGAGCGATGGTTGGGAATTGGTTGTTGATTTGCGTGGGTGAGTTGGTCGATTTGGGCTGGTAACGGGGCTGATTGGAGGTGCGTGGTGGAGCAGGGGAGTTGTTAGGTGGGTGCGTGGCTGGGGATTGGTGTGATTGGAGGTGGTTTGGTGGTGATTAATGGCGGTTTTGGCGGTGGCTGGTGCTGTTGTGGTGGGTTGCTGGGGCTGGTTTGGTTGGTTGATTGGTGGGCTGAATTGGGTGTGGATTGGTGGTGGGTTTGGGTGGCTGCTGTGGCAGTTGGTGTTGGTGTTGTTGGGGGAAAGCAGTGGTGTTGGTGTTGGTTTGGTTGTGGGTGAAAGTGGTGATGGCAGCAGCAAGAGGAGGGAGCATTGTGCATTTGCCTCGAACCTCGGACCCCGAACACGATTTGAACTTGAAACCCGAAACACCTACAACCAAAAACACGAGGGTATTACCACGAAATAAAATAAAATAAAAATAACATAAAAAAATAAAATCAAAAGAAATTAAATAAAATAAAGAGAACAAACATGAAAATAAAATAAAATAAGAAAATGAGAGAAACTAGGAACTTATTAGAAAACAAGAACTAAAAACTTAAAATATAAAACATAGAATATAAGATAAATTAAATAAATTAAGAAAATTAAGAAAATAAGCTAAAAACTATTAAAAACTACTAAAATACTCAAAATAAAGATAAAAAACGAGAATAAGCAAATAATAGAAATAAAGGACAAAATGGGCTAAATTATTGTAAAATAAGCCGGAAAGCGACTCAATAAACACCCTAAAAGCGACATAAAAGTCACTTATCAGTCAGCTGTCAAATTTATGCTAGAATACATTTAATAGAATGTAGAACACTCATAGTACGTGTTGTACAAAATTTTCAGTAATTCTCATCACTGCAAGGTTCTTTACTTCAACAATAAATTGCTTATAATTGAGTGTTTATAGATATAATAAGGTGTATGTTTTTCATTTGGATTGACTATGCTATTTTGTTTTGTTTCTTGTATTGAATATACTTCAATTTTCCTGTGTACTCTTATTTGGATCCTTGAAGGCATGCATCTAAGTGCGATTACTGTTGTGCAAATTAGTGCTTATCACTGTGGGGAAACATTTGCATCTGCTATTAGCAACTCTCACAATCTTTGTTGTATACTTGTTTTTTTTAGGTGTGGATGTGATTGCTATAATGATGTTAACTTTCATTTACTCAATGTCCATGGAATTGGTTATTCAGGATCACTTCCTGACTAGTTTCTGACAACTTTGTCTTTTAATTATACTTCTCATGCTTGAGTGATATGCACCAATTGTGCTTAAGATCACCTACAGACCTACTAGTGCTCCCTAGGTTCTTTGCTTATGCTTTGTTTGGGATGCTACATTTATGTATTGTGCAATCTCTTTCTTTGCACCAGAACAGGTTGGGTTCAATCCTGTAAATCAAATGGTGTTCTGGTGGCTTGGAAGAAGAGGTTTCTATTATTCACTTTTCATATTTTATAATAGATTCTATCTTTTCTTTTTTTTGTTGTAGATTTATTATCTCGACCACTTGCATCTAGTTCTTGTTCATTGGGGCGTTTACCCGAGGGTGAAGGTATGGAACTGTGGTGAGGTGAAGGCAGCTCTTCTTGAAGATAAGGTGTCGACCAATGACTATGGCAAGTTTGAGGTAAGATACCAACATTATTTTTATATGTTTTGTGGGTTTATAACTTTGTATGCTAACAATTTTTTTCCAATTGATAGGCCGTCGATATTGCTTATGGGGAGGAACATCCCCTAGTACCAAGGGAGGATGATGGTGTTCCTAAGAACAAGGCGGTGGTTTCAGGAAATGAGGCTTCCGTAGATGTTGTCGAGCGGGTGAGTGTTCAAAGTTGATTCTTGAATTATATGTGGTAATGTCTTTGTGACGAGAGGAAAACTAGGTCGTTATCTAATCTTCCCTCGGTCAAACTAAATTTATAAACACTTAACAAACCCTAATACGATTATAGAGGCAATTCAAGGGTCGAACCCAAAGGAAAGATAATGTTCAAGCACTTTCAATTATGCACCTAAGCTAGGTCGAAGACAAAGGTAAGAGAGAATACTAACAACTAACAAAACAAGTAACCAAAGAAATAAAACACTAGGAACGGGGATCAAGAAGTAATCATGTCAATTGTAACAACTTGGAAGAGCATGCCAATCAAAGGTTATGAGGACTAATGATAAGAGCAATCAATTGGAATCAAAGAGCTATCTCCTAATTGTTAAGCTAGGGTTCACTATGAATAACAAATCAAAAGAATCACAATCAAAACCAATCGATAATTGCAATCCCTAAGTCAATTGTTCGTGTCATTAGCAATTACAATGCAATCTAGCATAATTCTCAAGGCCTAATCGAATTACACCATGCAAACTTACATTAATCACTTTAATCTCAACAATTAATCAACACAATCCCCAAATTAATCACAATTAATCAATTATACAAGTTTCACCCAATTCCTAGCCAACAACTACTCAAATATCATCATCTATCAACAATCAACTAAAGGAAATTAAGAATCAACAATATATCAAGAACAACTACACTAATCAAGCATCAAACATCAAAATCAATCCAAACAAACATGAAATTAAAAAAAGCAATAAGGTGAGATAGAGTTAAGAATGCTCATTGATAATAGAGAAGATCTTGAATACAGTTGTCACCCTTGTATCTTTAATCTCTCAATCACCATTGAAATCCTTCACTTTCTCTCTCTAAAACTACTCCTAATCTAGAGAGAGGAACTCCTAATCTAAGCTAAGAAAAATGTGTTCTAATTCTAATTCTAATTCTACTTGTTTAAATCTAACCCAAAAATGGGTATTTATAATTACAAGGTTAAAAGAAAATAAAAGAGAAAAGAAAAACAAAAGAAAAATAAAAGAAACTAAAATGAATAAGAAAATAAAAATAAAATAAAAGAAAATAGAAAATAAAAGGAAAATAAAATAGAAGAAAAGAAATAATGAAATCAAAATAAAAAGGAAAATAAAATAAAAGAAATCTGATTCCTTCTCGATTTTTGGCTGTTTCATAAGAGTGGGATTTTATCCCCTGTTTCGCACATCACTCCAAATCATCATCATGGTTCAATCAACGGCCAAGAGTTAAGTTCCCTGCCATGCTCCTCCTTCAAACCCAGATACCCGCGGCCGCGATTAATGAATGCGCGCCCGCGTCTGTTGAGGTTCGAATTGGGCTTGCTTGCGTGAGGCGCGTTTGGAGCTGATGCCCTGCCGGAAATTGCTGTTGGTGTTGCGTGGTGGTTGCTTAATGAAGTCGGCGGTGCTAGGCTGCTTTAATTGATTACTGAAATTGGTGGTGAAGAGGAGGAGCTGCAGTGGCAAGGAAAATAGGGGAAGGAGCGGTTTGCTATTTGCGAGAGAAAGGTGACTGTGGTTGCGGAGGTACAAGGTGGTGTTGGTTGCTGTTTGGTTGTTGCGGTTGTGTGGAGTTGTAGGGCTGCGGGGTTGCTGCTTGGTGTGGGTGGCAGTGAGCTGGCGGAGCAGGGGAGATGCGTGAACAGGAGAGCTGCGTTGGAGCAGGGCACAATGGTCGCGCCCGCGGTGATGGAGCCCGTGGGTTTGGGGCTGCGCCCACGATGAGCTCGCGGCCAGACCGCGGAGAGTTCCTGGTCGGTTTTTGCTGTTTTGGTGCAACAAAACCCGCGCCCGCGGCTTGTAAACCCGCGTCTGCGGCTACCTATGCTGCTGCGTTGGGGTGGCTGCTTTATGGGATAGACTTGTTGGCTTGATATCATTGCAACACTTTATTGATTTTGAAACATCAAGCTTGAACATTGAAACTCCGAATATGACAATTTTAATCGTGTCTTGTCCCGAGTAAACACCTACACAAACAACCGAAAAAGGAGACAAATAAAATAAAATAAATAAAAAGGAAATAAATAAAGTAAAAATAAAAGAAAATAAAACTAAAACTATGAATTAAGGACTAAAATCATGAAAACCTATTAAAAACGAATCAAAACCCAACATGAGTTATTAAAACGCAAAACCAAGGAAAACTAAGAAAATTATATGAAAATATAGAAAGAAAATATAGAAAAAGGACCTAAATCTTATTCTTTTGAGCGTCATAAATGGCGCTCATCACTTTGGCTATGCTATTTTAGTTGTTTGTGTTTAAGTGTCTTATTCTTCTGCAATTCTAGTCTCTCTTGAGTCTCTTGACTTCATTTCTTTAGTGTCACTTTCAGTGTTCTACTTTAAGTGTACTACCTCCTTGTGATACACATTATAAAGCCATGTCTCTACATTTTAGGCCTTCAGCTCCAATCATTTTTGTTTGGTAGGTACACTTAATGAAAGAGAGACAAGTAGGTGATGCATTAAACTACTATTTAGGGGGGTTTGACCATTTTATAAAGTGGCTCTATTCAGATTTCATAGTCTTAACATTTATGTCATGGTTAATTGGTTGTCACTCACAGTCTCAAAACTTCTAGTAGTGTAATAATATAATCACTTAATAATATGTGGTTCCAATGTTGCATGTGTTGTATTTATCTATGCTTTATTTGGTTAAGTGAAAGCATAAACTGTTATCTGGTCGATACATTGAGGTGTCTTGAAGCCAAACCGAATGACTCACTTGAGTCTTTATTTCATTTCTTTAGTGTCACTTTCAGTGTTCTACTTTAAGTGTCCTTTTTTATTTTTAATCATTTTTTGTTTGTTTTAGTGTCTTAAGATTGTTGTTGTGTATGTACAGGTATTCGGTCATTTGGAATCAAAGCTGGAAACCATTGTTGAGGGTTTGATTGGGAAAGCCTGACAAGTCAAAGTCGTAATCAACAAATAAAAAATAATACCTAAATCCACTAACCATGTAGATAGGGAAGAAGGGTCGAACCACAGGGAAACGAGTTAATTTATTCCTAATTAATCAAAATAATCTAAATTATCTAGTAACCAAATTGTTATTGTAAAAGGGAACTAAACTACTAAGAGTAAAAGTGGGAAGGAATAAAAGTAGGAGGAAAATCAATGAAATAAAAGCCTAGGGCATAGGTTCACCAATAAACAATATTCAGGGTAAAGCATAACAATCAATCATCAATGCATCAATAAATCAGATCATAAAGGGCTTTCGCTACGTATTACAATCACAGAGTTAATTTGCCGATATTAAATTTCATCTCTCGAATCTCGACTTAATCATTTATAAATTAGTCCGCCTATTGAAACTAAGCCTAAACATCAATTCTCATCTCTCGAATCTCGAATCAATATTGCTAAACTCGTACAATTAAACAAGGCCTAATCTAATTGCATAGCATTAAATCAATCAATAGGAAATTAATCAAGCATTGATAATCAACAATAATAAATTACCCCTTCATATTATTTATGGATCCCCACAAACCCTAGAAAGAAAACTACTCACACATAATTAAATGTAAATTAAACAAAGCAATTAAATAAGACATGATCAAGGAAAGAGATTAAATAAAGGATGGAATTAAACCAAGAGTTGTAGAGAGAGAAACAAGAGAGAAAGTAATACTAAGAGTTTAATTAAGAGGAGAGAGAAAGTAATACTAAGAGTTTAATTAAGAGGAGAGAGAATGAGTAAGGAGTAAATTAAAGAAATAAAATAAAGTAAAAACAATAAGTTAAAACGAATATAAAAATAATGAAAAGCTCCCCCCGTAAAGAGCTACTACCCTCCTTATATAAGAAAGAAAGTCAACTCCCTAATCCCACTCAAACTCAAAGTATAATAAAATAATCAAAAGCTAAAGACAAAACTATCCTAAAAACAAAGTTCAATCCTATAGCAAATAGATATCCGACTTGAGGAAAGTAACTAGAGTGAGGCCCAAGGAATTTGAGCCCACTCGTTGAATCATGCGTGATTCCTTGATGATTGGGCCCGCCTATTCACACCCAGCACTTGAAGCTCGCCAATTTGAAGCCCAACAACTGATATCTTGGGATTGGGCTCCATGTAGTAGCTCGTAACAACTTGGATTTTATCATTAATCGAGCATTTAATCTCCAAATCAAACTCCATTGACTAGGTCTTGGGCAATTAAACTGCGGTCATAAAATACGATCAAATTCCAATATCTTCATAGTGGCTTAATAAGCTCAGGAATTATAATAAATCTGCAAATTCTTACAAAATAATACCAAAACACTAGAAAACTTATATTATTAATAAAAATAGCTCCACAGAGCTCAAATAAGCACAAATATGACCGTGTGACGGGGAATAAAATATACATAAAATACTCATCAAAGCCCTTAGTAAATTTGTGAGTAAGATGACTAGAAACCGTATTGATGAATTTGTGTATTTTGAAAATGCTGGGAGTACCGGACCAAGGGATGAAAATGGTTGGATTAATGGACTAAGGGATGAAGTTAATCCTTCCCCCGGAAAGGTTGGTGCTGATTACTATGCTGACCACATCAACAGGTCATCCCCCAATTTGGAGGAAGAACCTAGGCCAAATAAGCTTAGTCCCTTTGACAAGAGGCTTCTGTGTTTTGTCCGCGGGTGGAAGGAGTTGAAGAACGATGCAGAGTAATTAAAGCTTTAAGGTGTAATAGCACTTGTCATAACTTATGTTGTTTGCTAACTTTGATCTTTTATGGAAAATGCAGGCCCGGTTCAAACTTAATTCTTTGTGATGGTGTAGATGCATCTCAAAGGGACTACTATCGTGTTGTTTCCCCAAGATCTCATGCTGGAGATCATTATGTTAGGGTGGCCTCTGTTTTGTATATGAAGACTTGGGCATCACAACATACGAGGAAAAGGATTATGATGGATCCTTTGTATGCGGTGAGGTTTTTTACTACTTTTTTTTTGGTTAAACAGTGTCTTGATCAACATTTTTGGTATTTACATTGTTTATCGTATTTAACTTACCCTTTTTTTTGTTTGTATTGGTCGTAGAATTTTGTTATGGTTGGTAAAGATGACCCTAAAATGTTGGGCCAAAAGTACGGGAAGACTTTCCTTAGCTATTCTCTTAACCAAATCCAAAGTGTATGTGTTCAGTTCTGATTAAGTCATTTTTTATAAAGTTTTTTATATTTAAAGTGGTTTATGTTTCACACAAGTTTTTGTCCCTGTCCTTGATGCATCTGTGAAGAATGCAGAACATTGGTATTGCTTGGCCTTGGATTTAAAGGTACATTTGGTTTGGATGATTGATTATTTGTATGAAGATCCGTACTTAAAGCATGAAAAGTGTCATCAGCAACTTGTAAGGAGTTCAACTCTCTCCTTCCTTACTTTTATGTTATTAATTGGTTTTCTTTTTGAATTAAAATTGTGACACTTGCACAATTTGGTCCTAAAGATGAAGGCCTTAGCGGAGTTGCTGCAGCTTAGTGACCCCACATGGGAGGTGGGTATAACTTCTACATGGTTGAGGAGGACATTTCCGGTACGACAGGCTGACAAGTAAGTACTTCTACCATGGTATTAGCAACTTCAGCTTGATTGTATGGCTATTGTATATGATTTCATGGATCTAGTGATTTGTGTTGAGCATTGAATGACTGAACAACCATCAATCAGATGGGAGTCTTAATTAGTGATTTGACATTCTCATGTGATTTTTTATGGTGTCTTTGTATGGTTATTTGGATGTGCTATGGATGATAAAAACTAATATGACTAGGGTATGGATGGTTCACTTATTTCAGAAATGAACCTTTAGCAGTAAATGAACCATTACCCGTGCCCTGCAAATGAACCTTTAGCAGTAAATTCCGCTAAAAAAGTCTTAAAAAAATAATGATTTTATCCCTTAGTTGATCAATATCTACTAATAACTCATTACTCCTCTCATTTACTCCCAAAATTGAACAACTTTTCTTTTGCATTCATGAGGTATAATCTAAATTCTTTTCTGTTGATGGGTAATTTAAATTGGTTTAGAACTCACATATATGGTATTGTGATAGTTATTGTCATACTTATTATGTTTTATATAGTACTTACCTCACCGGCTATCGTAATTGCAATAACAGTTGCTCTTGCGGCGCAATCATGCAAGCAACTATAAAGCATTGTGCACGATCTTTTGAAGCTCCCTTTCACATGGTGAGATTATGATCCTTATTTTTACTATGCCCTTTACGTTTCTGCATGTGTAATATGTCTATAATAGACATTTTGAATGATTATTGCAGTAAGTTGTCTCCATTGATATAGATGACTCTTTAGCTTAGTAAGCATTCCATTTCTACTTAAAGGTACTTAAATGTATTTTTGAGCTTTTTAATCTGTTCAGAGATTAATATTCCACTTCAAGCGGCTTTAGTTGCTGTGAGGCAAAGGGTTTACCTCTTTGATTATCTTCAGAGTCACAAGAGTCATCGTTAACCATGGATTTATTGGATTGGTTAGGGAGAATTCTGGGATTCTGTAACCAATAATGTACATTAGATGTCTAATAAAATTTTAATCTGTATGGCTCTTAGCTTACAACAGTTAAGTGTCTTTCCAATTTAATGGGTCTTTTCCAACAGGTAACCGTATACACACACTATGTCGAAAAGGCTCTTATGCATTGGAAATTTTGAATGATGTGTAGTTCCTACCATGATCGTGCACTCGAAAGTTAGTATGATTGTCAGGTCTTGGTCTATATTTATCTGGGATTTTGACAAAAGTTTTTTTGCAGGAAAAACATACCTCCTCCTTGAGGAACAATCTGTTTCTTGAAGATGTGAATAGCGACTTCAACGAGTTGCATGCAAATTTGGAGACGATCCTCCCAAAGGAAAGACGAGGCGGTAGAAGGAAAGGTTCTCACATGACTTCATAGGTGGTCTAACTGTGTTCAGAAGGGGGGTGTGCTCAGGGGTGCATAACCCAATTTTGTTTTTGTGAAACTAATTATGAAACTGTATTCATGAGCAAGGGGGTGCATAACCCAATTTTGTGGAAACTTATTATGATGTGCTGTTAACATAGGTAGGTGGTTAATTAGTTAGTTAGGTAGTTGAACACTCTTGACGTAGTTATATTTAACTAATGTAACCTTCCAGTTGAACAAGTGATTAACAGCTACTGAACTTTAAAGTTTATTTAATTGCATAGGATTCAGGTTACATAACATTACACCGTTACTTGTTCGAACATCTTTAGGATAACATAATAATCTTAAGGTGCGCAAGTTGAAGCTAATGATAATTTTTTCAACATCTAGCAAGTAGTACATGAAAAAGTAGGCCTCCTTGTGAAAGTACCTAGCCCGACCTATTTTGAACATTGTCAAGAATGGAAACTCGGGATGGAAATCTATACTATCAACTAGTTCATGCAATCCTCATGCAATAGTAGCTACTTGATGTTGCAAATATCTACAGTGGTTATATAATAAAAGGCATTATGCTCTAATTGAACACCAAACTAGTCCAACTAGAATATAAAACCTTGTAAAAGTAGAACACGTTTACTACTTAATTTGTTGTAACTATCTATAGTTGTTTTGGGCGTTTTTGTCCCTCGGGAGAGCTTGACTCAAAGACTGGTCGGTGAGCGCCTATACCTGTAAAATAACGGAGACTCCAGGTGGTTGGAGTTTCGCCTCCGATGATCAAGTTAGAACGTGTAGGAGTGAGTAAAAAATGCGAAAAATAAAGGTGAGATCTTTCTAGGGTTCCAAGAAAGAATATTTCTTTGATGTAAGAGAATGTCAGTAAATGTGTGTAATCAATTCTGTCTGTCCCACAAATGGGGAAATCTCCCTTCTTATAGGGTCATTCTGGATAAAGGTGCCCTAATCTTGGTCATTTGCCCTAGATTTGGTGGGCTTCCCATCCTTTTAACGGCTCTTTGGGAATTAGGCCCTTAAAAACCGTCATTCCTCTTGGTGACAGTGGGTTCCACATGTCACTTTGCAAGTGGCCCGATTTAGGCCATTAATGGGTGGACACGTGTCCCATCCCTATTGGACCACGTGGCGGGGTAATTTTACCCAAAACGTTTGCCCCTCACTTGACATGTGTCACTCATGCAGCGGTAGAACGGAAATTACTGTTACTCTCTTAGGGGATTTACCAGGATGCCCCTGAAGTTACCCCCTTATAAATAGAAACTTTGCCCCTATCCTTTTTGCTCATTTACGAAAAAGGTCTTTGAGAGAATTTGAGAGAATCTTAGGCTTTTCTCCGAGAACAAACTTTCCGTCTGCCGCTTGCTGTCTTCCGCCTGACCCAGTCGGCTTCTTCAACTTCAACGCTACCTCTTTCAGGTAACCGCCTACTCTTTTTAAATTTCCTTTCAATTCGTCTGTGTTTGTTTCCTTTCGTTTTTGAAAATGGTATCACAAACACATACGACACGACCTATGGCAACTGTCAGCTGGTAACCTAGGACGGCTGAATCTAGAACTAGGGGTGCCTCCTGTCCTGAACAGCTCTTGCCAACGAATCTGTCTGTGTCTATGCAGGACACTATGGCTAGAATATAAAGGACCGCCCGGCCGCCTAGTGATGAAGAGGACGAGGGCCCTATCAGGGTGCCAAGAAGCGAGGTTACCTATTACCCATCCGGCGCTCCAATGACGCCAACTAACTCAATTTTGAGTGATTCAGAAAATGCCTCCAGCGAAGAGGCATCCGGCTCTGTTGAGGATTCGTCCCAATTAGATGCTAACTCAAGCGGCCTCAAAAGTGAGGGAGAGCCGCATGTGAATGCTGAAAAAAGCTTTGGGGAAGAGGATGACTCTATAGAGCGTGGCCAGGAAGAAACCTCCTCCTCTCTTAATGAAAAATTTACTCCTTACTTTACCCATATATCCGCGTCTACCCAGAGACTCATGCGGAAAAACTTGGATGACTTTCGCGACACCTATGTCATGGGTGCTGGTTATAAGATTAACGTTCCGGCTCTTGACGATTCAGTCGTCTGGACGCTTGACCAAAGCTACGGGGATAGATGCTTTGGGTGCTATGCGGCCACCATACAGGCGGGCCCTAGGTTTTCGCTGGATCCGGCTATTGAACATATCCTTTATGGGTACCGCCTGGGAATATGGCAGTTAGCACATAATTCTTGGGCTAACATCTTAGGATTCATAGCCGCCTGTAGGATGCAAATTGTTGAGCCTAGCTTTGAGGCCTTCGCCCATATGCATTACCTTAGAAAAGCTCCTGCATCAGTCGGCCCCGGATGGTTCACTTTGTCATGTAACAAGGGTTACATGATGACTTTGGGGAAAGAAAACAAATGGAAGGATTGGAGAAATAAGTTTTACATCATCTCCTCCCTTGATACCATCCGGAACCGGAAGTATAATTCATGGAACCAAAATCCCTACCTCCTTGGTCAAAAAGCTATTCTCCCGCCTGTGTCTGATGAAGGCTGGGACCAAATTTCGACGCCTGGTCTTTTTAAAGTTGATGTCAAAAAAATCAAGGAGGGAACCGAGAAAGAGATTATCCCTAAAAGCTATATTCCAGAATTCAGTTGGCTAGCTGATCCCTTCTTTTTGGCCGCCTGTGGCTTTAGCACTGAGAAAGGAAGAGGTGGGCAGCCGCCTGAATCTTTGCATGACAAACATTTCGTTTTCATCATTTTTTTTAATATTTCATTCGGCCTTTTGCAGAAGAAGCCATGTCTCAGCTTGATCGCCTGTGCTTCCAGGAAATATTAAAAAAATACCAAAGCAAGAAACCAGGAGGCGACGCCTCTGCTTACCGCCAAATAATGAAGCACAAAAAGCAAGTTTTCAAGAGAGAACAGATTGAGCATGTAAGCTTCTCTACATCCGTCCTCTAGTCGTTAACTTCTTATTTCGAAGTCAATTTTTTCATGAAGGATCGGTGAAGCCGCCTGTGCTTCCAACACTTGGGACTAGGCCGCCAAAGCAGACTCCGGATGAGGGCCCGACTCCTACTAAAAGGAGAAAGAAGATTGCTCACAAGCCGTCGGCCAGCCAATCTGAGTCCCACCTCTCCACAGGCGACAAGTCACTTGTTGTGATGGCTGCTCTGAAAGAGGTGGAAGAGTCCAAGGCAAGGGCCGAAACTCCAACTGGGGTGACTGACTCTCTAGGTGGCCATGTAAGCAGGTGGAGGGACATGAATGCTCAGGATCTGGTTGTCATCCCAAGTACCTCCGCCTTTAATCCCCTACCCTACCCTTGTAGGGTTAAGTCTTACAGTCATTCGTCAACTCAGTCTGAGACCAGTCGGTCCTTTGGCCGGATCTATGCCAACCTTGTAGGGTTAAGTATTGATTGTGTAGATGTTCCCCAGACGCCGGATGTGAAATGGATTGCCAAGGACATGATTGCCGCCGTCTCTTCTGAACAACGCGACTCTATTAAAGGATTCGGCTCCCTCAACTTTGATGCTATCCTTGCAAATTTGGCTGAGGTAGCTTTTCAAGTAATTTCTGACTTTTGCCTTTTCTGACTGTATGCTAACCATTCTCTTTCTGCCGGACGCAGGCGATGCTGCGAGTCAATGGTCTTAATAAGCCATTTGCTGACAAACAGAAAGAGGTAAGAGCCGCCAACTTAAGGGCCTCTTCCAATCTGGACAAAGCCATGTTTGATGTAAATAAGACTGAGTTGTTGACTCAATATATCCTATACTCACAGGCGACTGCCAATTTGCAAGTGAAGAAAGATTTGGAGGCGGCCTAGAATAGGGCGACTGAGCTTAAGGCGGAGCTAAAAAAGGCTAAAGAGAAGGTTGAGGAGCTCCAAGATGCTGGCAAAGAGACGGTTAGTCTCAAACGCTAGAATGAAAAACTTCGCAACAAGCTTGCCAACCAAGAAAAGAAGCTTGCCTCCAAATGGTCCGCCAGTGTAGAAGAAGAGAAAAAGCAGCTCATTGAGGAGAATGAGGCCGACTGCGTCACTCGAATGAAGATGGCGTGGAAGGCTCTGTTTCCCGATGACGACTACTCCATTTGGGAGTATCGTTATGAGCAAGCTACAGATGAGCTGGATGCTGAGGCGGAGCCGGGAGCTGATGGCGGCGAGGGGGTCCAGCATGAGGACGAGGTTAAGGAGGCTGAAGGAGATCATCCGACCAATGAAGAAGTGGAGGATGAAAATGAAGCCGAGTCCTCTCCTGAAGCTGTTTAATTTAAGTGTTGTTTCTACGGCCGGATGGCCATTTCAAATACATTTCCGGCCTGCGTGCCGTGTATCTCTTGTTTCTTTACCGACTGAGGAGTCGGGTTAACCAACAATTTCTCTCTTTTCACCGGCTGTATAGCTGGTTAACAACTAAAAGTTTTAATTTTGCTGGCCGAGGGGTCAGCTTTTATGATGAATCATCCGGCCAATAGGTCGGTTTTTAATGATTGTGTTTGGTTTCTAACACTTGTGTTTTAGTTTTTGTATGTTTGAATTTGAATAGGATCCAAATGGTTACGTATTTAAATTGGTATACCACATGGTTTTTCCCCTAGGCGGTTGTGCGCTTGGGTCTAAGTTTGGTTGATTGGCTTGAAAATGTGTGATGATGGATGGGGGTATGACTGATATTCAAGTCAATCAATCACTAAGGTGATTGCCCCAAGCCAATCGTGTAGTCGGCCACTCGAGCATCTAGACTTCATTACAGGTGGTCACTAGACCTTTCTGCATGAGTTAAATATTGAGGTGGCAGCGGTTGTCCACCTGCTATTCTTTTATCACATAAGCAGGCGGCTCCATGAGCCTTGTGTAATCACCTCACCTCGGGTGAGTTTCACCCTACTTAGGCTGATTTTCAAATTAGCCGACTATGTAGGTGGCCATAATCTAATTATACTCAATGTCCGTACATCCCTGATGGGGGACTTGTATAATTTCACGAGGTAATCTAAGCTAGAATTCCAGTCGGCAGCTGACTGATGTGTCTAACATCCTACCACCGCATTCTTGTTCATTCTTCAGATTACCATGGTCAGGTAGCTATGAGTTGACCAAATAGGTCGTTCAATTGTCGCCGCTTGTATGTTGTAGAGCAGACGATAGAATGCCCTCTGCGGCGATAACACCCGGAGGGGCGTCGCCGGACGCCATATTTCACATTGGAGCAGGCGAATTTATAAAATGGGTAACCATCCGGCCATTGGCCTCGTGTCTAATTTTTTGGAAGACGGTTGTATAGCCA